GCCCTAAGAGGGGATTTGTACTCTGCTGGCACAGTTTGTGCCGTGTGCAAAGGAGCATGGAAGACTGCGCATGCCTGGCTGCCCCTGGAAGTCTCCGCCCCCTTCCTCGAGCCCAGATGACCTCTGTGCCTCCTAACCCTTAAAGTTCCCTTACTGCCCTCCCTTCTGGGAGAAGGTGCCTTTAGAGCTCGAGCTCCCCTTCTCCATTCTCTGGCCATTGAGTAAAAGCCTGTCTTGCTTGCACCAAACAGTTTCATCATTGGCAGCACAAACCTGAGCCGGAAAGAGCTCCCTGACCCAGCCAGGGGGGCTTCGGTTCAGCCGGGGCCCCAAGAGGGGGGGCTTCACATCTCATTCGGTAACAAGATCACCTTATGTAGGGCTTACCATTTTTTCAAATAAGTTTCCTGGCTCCGTGCCCCCTTAAGTCAGAGAGAGGATGTGAAAAGCGGTCAGAGGGGAGACAGGGGGAGAATTTGTGAGTATATTTCTTTGCATCAAATTGTTGCGATTCTGTGAATCCCCACTCTCCCAAAGGGGATGAAGTTTGGGGATGTTACTTCCTTCAACTCAGCCTAGTGGGGGGGAGGATGGGTGAGTCTAAGCATGTTCCCTCAAGTTTAACTGACACAAGCACCGGTGCCTGACTTGCTTCTGAGAAAGCTAAACCTGCATGGGCTGGCCTCCAGTTGACTAGATTAGCCATTAATATCAGAAGAAAAGGCACTTCATGTTATGTATTCGTTATGGCTCAGATGCCGTCCAATAGCGCCACCTAAAGGGGTGGAGAGCAAGAACCTGGAGAGCAAGAACCTGGAGGTGAAGGCAAAATTCTTAGAATGAAAGATGGAGTCACAAGTGGCTACCTAGAAACAGCTGCCTCTATCCTGGTCTGCAGAATTTCTGAGCAAGGGAATCTCAGAAATCTCTAAGAACTTAAAACCCAAGAAAAGGACTAATGAGAAAAGGAGTCAGGTGTGTGTGTGTGTGTGGAGAGGGGTGAGGAGTTGTTTTCCTACAAAGATTGAGATATTTCAATAATGCCTTGGTTGGAGTAGACATTCTAGTGTCTGAATTGAGGTTTGCATTTCAACATGACTCAAGGACTACCAATTACTTAAGAGTGGGCTAAAAAGCCATAGAATTTTCTAACTTTCCATGCAACGGCGGGGAAAGATTACTCTGTCACATAGAACATACTGGGGCAATGGGAGATGAAAAATAAAGGTGTGGGGTATTTTTGTTTGTTTGTTTTACTTTTTATTGGGGTGAAGTTGATTTACAATGTTGTGTTAGTTTCAGGTGTACAGCAAAGTGAATCAGTTATATATATACATATATCCACTCTTTTTTAGATTCTTTTTCCATATAGGTCATTACAGAGTATTGAGTAGACTTCCTTGTGCTATACAGTAGGTCCTTATTAGTTATCTATTTTATATATAGTAGTGTGTATATGGCAATCCCAATTTACCAATTTATCCCTCCCCCCTTCCCCCCCCCACCATAAGTTTGTTTTCTGTATCTGTATCTATTTCTGTTTTGTAAAGATGTGTTTTGATGAGGACTCTGAAGGGATACAGTTACAGATGTAACCAATAACCATTTAGGAAAAAAAAAAGCTTGCACCAAAAATAAAGTTAAAAATACAAGCACAGTGAGATAACAGGTCACTTTACACAAAAAGTAAAACGAGGCTCAAGGAGGGCTCAAATTGTTCAAGACTGCATGACTCATAAGTAGCAGACCTAAGGTTTCAACTCAACTCTCCAGCTCCTGAGCTTTTAATACCTAGGCAACATTTCCTCTGCTGCTTCCCCTCTAAGGATATGATTATGGTCCTCAAGGTCTGTTCCCTGCTGTGGTTTACAGGGATGAGTCACACTCGCCATAGCTCTGAAAGATGATTTTTGAATTTAAAAAGCTGGTGAGATGGCTCTGAACAATGGAATATAGCCCAAGGCTGCAGTTTTGTTTTATGCATTACAGCATTTTAAAGCCACTAGTGCCCTGTTCTCTAAGATGAAAGTAATATATCAGTAGGAGCTAAGTCAAAGAGAACAAGCTGGTCTCCAGGTGGCAGACAGTATATGGAGTCAACAAAAGGAGCTCTTCCTGTGGTCTATTAATAATTCAAAAGCCTCCTCCACTCTCCTCCAGCTCCTTTTCCTTCTTTTCATCCTATTTCATCTTCTTTCCAAATAAATAGCCTCAGCTGACTGGCCACACTTGGGTAATCAGAGCACAATGCAATTAATGACTGTTTACAAGATTCTTGCTAGTATTTTTTTACGCTTTATAGTGTTTAGCCTTTAAAATCAAGTGAACATGGAGACTTTTTTTTTTTTGGCTGTCTTTCTCTTTGACAAATGGTATTTATGCCTTTAAAACTTTTTTTGTTTTCATTCCAGAACCTTTTACTGATGAGATTTATCAAAATGCAACTGCAGATCCGCCATTGATTGTCTGAACACAAAGTGCTATTAGGAAAATGATCATGACAAGGAAACAATAACAAAGAGCAGCTTTAAAAAAAAGTCAGACCCTTAACTCTTTTTAGGAGGGGTTATATTTTTTACCCCCAGAAATAATTCATCAAAGTCTGTCACCCTGAATAAAATTAGAGTTTTCTTTTAGCTTTGGTAATAGGCAAGTCGTGGAAAAGCAATGCTCAGAAACATTTGGTAAAAAAAAATATATATATATATATATATATTTTTTTTTACTCACAGAAAGAGAGTTTGTGATTTTATTTCTAGTGGAGGAATGGGACCCAGGAATCAGATATGCATCTGCCCACAGAGCTGCAGTTCCCCTTCCCCAGTACATGGGGACCATTACGATAGGTACAAAGTATTAAATATTTTCAACATGATATTATTTGATTAAAATATAGTCATAGTCTCACCCCTCTCTTCAAGCATAGGTATCAATCAGACTTCAAAGTATATGCTGAAGCAAAAAATAGTAAGAAGAGCCGTGCGTGAGGGACTTTTTCTCATTCATTTCTTACTATTTTCTTTCTGTGTATTTCCTTTATTTGCCTAACGTGTAGTTCCACTGAACTATTATAAGCTTATTCGTTTTGCAGCAACATGGTCAAGCTTTGGTAGATCTTGCTAGTGGTTGTCTTATCAAGGAGTTTAGTTTACTATATGATGCAGATGGTGGTCTGTAGGTGAGCCTGCTAACCTCTGACACAGCCAGCTGTTATGATGCTCGTGCCAGGCTGCCGCTGAGGCCACCTTTAGACCTGCCGTAGTGAGGACCTTGAGACCGGACTTGCAACCCCGGCCTCTCTTCCAGGCTACCTTCCAGACTGCCTGTCTCTGCCAATTCACTGTGACTAAATCTGACCTCCCTTCAAATTGGCTGTCTTCCTAATTTCTATAATTTTTAGAGGCAATGCTGTGCAGTGAAAAGAGTAGAAATGAGGTGAAAATGGGGTTGAATACAAACTCAACATTTGTTGTTTGACTTGGAGCCAGTGTTATTCTTCCTGAGGCATATTTTCCTCCTCTGTAAAGTGTCAGTAAGAAAGACTGGAGGATTGTGGGCACTTAACAGGTTAACATTTATAAGTGCCTATCCCAGTGCCTGGGACAACACAGATGCTGAATAGTCACTCACTTCCTCCCCTTTCCCTCTCTGGCAACGACACTACCATTGCCTACAGTGCCCAGGTTGGACATGTTGAGAGCAGTTTTTCTCCTTCCCTCTCCTTTACCCTTAATTAAAGCCAACTGCCAAGTAATTGGATATTAGAACTAGCAAGAACCTTAGAAATCATAGCCATCTGATTTATTGACAATACATAGAGACATAAGTCACCAATTCTCCTAGCAATATGTCTCCCGTGTCAATTTCAGTAACAATCATTTGGTGATGAAATTTGTTACTTGATACTTGGCGATTATATTCAACAAAAAAGAATCAACCAACTCTTCTTAGTTTAGTAATGATGGGCAAACACAGCTTCCAACTCACAAGTCAAACTTTTTTTTGTGGCCGCGCTGTGCAGCTTGCGGGATCTTAGTTCCCCAACTGGGGATTGAACTCAGGCCCTCAGCAGTGAAAGTGCCAAGTCCTAACTACTGGACCGTCAGGAAATTCCCAAACTCTATTTTCCTAAATGCTGTCCTATGGCTCTTTATGACTCAGTTTCTTTGGCAGAATTTCCCCTGCCCCTGGTATGTCCCTTCCCTCTTTGCCATTCACTGAGGAGAGGAATACATCTCAGAGACAACTGGAGGAGAAAAGGATCATAGAAAAAAACAACAGGAAAAAAAGATAATTCCAAAGGAAACAACATCAATTTTGAAAAGCCTAAAAGTTGACTAATGAATTACAATAATACATATAGCCTCAAAACTATTTACACCATGTTTTATATATGCTAGGGCATGAGTTTCTGTTCTGTCAAGTGGTTTATAGTAGAAAATCCTAAGGGATTCACCCTACCAAGCAAAATAAGAACTAGATATGTTCATGTGTGTGTTCTTTATAACACAACCATTCTTCCTTTCCTACTCCATGCTGAACACCCATGCACAACCCAAACCTCCTCTCTGATACCTTTATCCTCTTCTCCCTCCCATGTTCTATGTACAAGAAAAAAGTAAATTATCCATAGACAATGCATAGTACGTGTGAAGACAAGAAAAACATAAATCATGTGAAGTGTTAAGGTGTAAATAATTACATAGTTTAAAAAATCAAGAGTCTATTTCTTTAATTTTCATAGCTACTGAATATACATATCATCCAGAATTTTCTCAGTAATAAAACTAGAGCCAGAAAAGAAAAAAAGACCCTAGATCTAGTGAGATCCTTATTATACTGACATCTACAATTTGGAAGGGCAACATGGAAAGTTTCAGAAAGAGCTGACCTTCAGACTTGAATGTTCTGCTCCCCAGTCCAATGCACTGATTGGATTCCATGAGGGGCAAACAAGTGGGGGAAACGACCCACCACCATCTAGGATTCTAGCGGGTTACCTCTGAAATGCGAAGGCATGCTGCTCACAGAACAGGATGGTGGCCACAAGGACTCCAAAGCTATCAAGCTTCATCCCCACAGCGATTTGCTATCAAACAAAACTCTCTGAAGAGAAGGGTCCAGATAGCTGATTACTTAAGAGCCTTCTTTGCACACTGGTTAAAATATAATGGCACGTTCCCTGTCGTTTCTGTGCTCATTCGACTTCGCTTCCATTCCCACCCTCAAAAAGAAAGTATGATGAGAGCTGTTATTCTCATTGTAGACTATCTAGAAAATATTTAACTCTTCAGGGAAGATGAGGCCAAGAATAAAAGGATAGTAATACAGTGGAAACGTGTCTTGTTTGTTGAAGAACCATTACCATAGAGTATTGACCCACGGGTCTCAGCCCATGCTGAGGGAGGTCTCCTGTGGAGTACTAACTCATTAGGTCTTCCGTTGCTTTTCTCTTTTTCAACACTTTCAACTTACATGAAGACATAAAAGGTGAGTTTTTCAAATTTATGGCTGAGAAGGAGAGCTTATATGGAGGATTATAGGATCTCCATTCAAAGAGAGTTTCCTCGTCCATGTGGAATGATGGCTCCACCCGTAAAAGAATAAGAATGCTATGTGTGGGGAGCTCTTCTGAGAAGTAAAAGAATCAGGTAGTTGTGAATCATGTTTATTTAGGGAAGGTCACCATAACAGCCATAACACCATAACAGTCTGAATCAAAGCCTACCGTACGTCATTCTGAAGGTAGCACCATCTAACATTTTGTCTGGTGTGAGGCCACATCTAACCTCTGTAAGTGGAAGGACCCTGGTCCCCTTCCTACATTCCCACTGGTAAGTGCATTTGAATGCCCTTGAGGTCAGGGCAGGCAAATTTGCAAAATAAATCATCCTCCCTTCAGTGGACTTCTGAGAAGGAAAGGATTGAGAGTTCAGAGCTCTCTCTGGGATTCAAAGGTATTGAAACATATTTAATGGATCGAGGTGACCGCCACTGAAACGACTGGGCTGGCCAGAAAGCTTGTTCATGTTTTTCCATTCCATAACATCTTATGGAAAAACCCGAACGAGTTTTCTGGCCAACCCAATACATTTTATATAAGAAAGAAGGAGAAAAAAGAAAATACATGCGTTTCTGCTCATTTGTGGAGAAAGAAGCACAGGCAGGATAGACCAGAAATCAATGAGTTGGGTTACCTCCAGCAGGTGAGTGAAAAACAGTGGGAATAAGAAGTGGGTAGAAGAGGGAATACGAACCAGGTAGAAGAGATGGGGGGAGGGACATTTCTGCGAGTAAAACTCTTTGAATACCTCTGTATTTTAGAACCGTGTTAATTTTTCACATACTCAAAACAACCAGTCAAGTAAATAAAATGAATACAAACCAAACCAAATGAATGTAATTTTGTTTCAAATAAATAACATAACCACACTGAAGTGAAGAGGGGGAAAAACTAACCAAAGTGAACTTTTTTTTTTTTTTTTTTTTGGCAATACGCGGGCCTCTCACTGTTGTGGCCTCTCCCGTTGCGGAGCACAGGCTCCGGACGCGCAGGCCCAGTGGCCATGGCTCACGGGCCCTGCCGCTCCGCGGCACGTGGGAGCCTCCTGGACCGGGGCACGAACCCGCGTCCCCTGCATCGGCAGGTGGACTCTCAACCACTGCGCCACCAGGGAAGCCTCACAAGGCTTTTTTGATGGACAAACATTTTTGTTTCTCTTGGGTAGATATCTAGGAATGGAATTGCTAGGTCATAAAGATATTTAGTTTTATAAGCAACTCCTGTGCCTTTTTTCTAGGTAGTTGTATCATTTTATACGCCCACCAACAATATATTAGAGTTCTAGTTGGTCCACATCCTTGTTACCTGACGCCGTCTTTTTCATTTCAGCCATTCTAGTAAGTGTATGGTGGTGTCTAATTTGGCTTTCATTTAAATTTCTGAGATGGCTAATAATGTTGAGAACCTTTTTTGTGCTCATTGGCGATAAGTATATGTGTGTGTATGTGAGTTCCAACTGTTTGCCTGATTTTTAATCAGATGGTTTGTCTTATTACTGATTTGTAGAGGTATTTATATACTCCGGACATCTATATGACACAATAAAAGGCAAAATTACAGATACAGAAAATAGGTTAGCTGTTGCCAGGGCCTGAGGCTGGGGAGGAAGGGATTAACCTACAAAGAGGTACAGGAGAAGTTTTTGGAGTGGTGGGAAAATTCTCTGTTTTGATTGTGGTGGTATTTACACTGTGTACAGGCAAAATTCCTCAAACTGAACTCTTAAGTTAAATTTATTGCATGAAGAGAGAGAGAGAAGAACACAACAGCTTGATCAGATGGACTCCACCCTGGCTCACAGGCAAATCTCTTAGCTTCTCGGAGGTGCAGTTTCCCCCGCAGAAAAATGAGGTTAATGATAACCTACCTCTGAGGGCTGTTGTGGGAATTCAATGGGATAGCAGCTGAAAGTGACTGGCAAAACAGGTGTTTAGGGCTTCCTTGGTGGCGCAGTGGTTGAGAGTCCGCCTGCCGATGGAGGGCACACGGGTTCCTGCCCCGGTCCGGGAAGAACCCACATGCCGCGGAGCTGCTGGGCCCGTGAAACATGGCTGCTGAGCCTGCACGTCCGGAGCCTGTGCTCCGCAACGGGAGGGGCCACAACAGTGAGAGGCCCGCGTACCAAAAAAAAAAAAAAAAAAAAAAAAACCAGGTGTTTAGTATGTCCCATTCATTAAAAAAAAGATAAACCAGGAAGGGAGCTGAGAAGGGCCAATGTGTTCTCTTCCCGGAGCCTTACCCAGGTCAGGTGAACCTTGGTGACAGCTGTCCTCTTCTTCTTCGGCTGCTCCCAAAGAGTTAGGGGATGAGTCACTGCCCCAGAAGCCAATCTAGTCCTGGGGGATCGATCTCACTGAATCATGTCCCCTAGGGACCAGCTAATTTGTACATTTGCTCTCCAGTCAATTTGTAACATTAGGTGGCAAAAATAATATGGCAAGTGTTTCTTCAAGAGCCATAACCCTCTGCTTTTATTAAGACGGTGCCTAAAAGGATAACCTCCCCTGTGAATAGTGGCTGCTTTGCCTTCTCTCAATTGGAGCGGGCTGAGGATAAGGGCAACGCCACCGTGATCTGGACGGGCCGGGACTTGGATATGCAGCTCAGGCTTACTGTTAGGTAAGCGCTGAGAGAGTCAGTCAATTTCATGGCATTTTGTCATGAGTTTAGGTGCAGCTCAATTTTCAAGTTTTCCTTTCAGAGTCTTTCAGCCATTAAAGCTGCATAATCTTGGGAGGTTCGGAGGACACATAATTGATAAATGTGTTTTCCTCCACACACTCTCTCTCATGTTTATTCATGCAGAGCGAAGCAGTTTTAGAATTTGCACAAAAGGTTGGCGTATCCGGCCCCCTGTGTTTCTGAGGGGGGAGGAAAGATGATGCCATCTTGGGAGTCATTGTAGAGGGGGATTTGAGGCCCGAAGGCAGAGAACTCCATCTCAGGTTCTCATGCCCTCGCTTTGGCTACAAATACTGAGCCTGGGAGTCGTGGCACCAGGAAGGTTACTAGACACCCAGAGAGGCAAATGCTCGTCGGCTGGATGGTTCAATTGTGAAGAAAGCAGGGTTTGTCCTTGAAACACTTCCATCCCTTCATTCCCCGTTTCTAACCATTACTCCCTCTTATGCGTCTATCCGCTTTTTTTTTTTTTTGCGGTACGTGGGCCTCTCACTGTTGTGGCCTCTCCCGTTGCGGAGCACAGGCTCCGGACGCGCAGGCTCAACGGCCATGGCTCACGGGCCCAGCCGCTCCGCGGCATGTGGGATCTTCCCAGATCAGGGCACGAACCCGTGTCCCCTGCATCGTCAGGCGGACTCTCAACCACTGCACCACCAGGGAAGCCCTATCCGCTTTTTAAGATGCTGCAGCCAGGCCGCCCCTTTGAAGAGCACCCCAGGCTGTTGTATCCCATTGGTTCTCAAACTTGACTGGTAATTAGAGTCACCTGCACATCTTTTAAATCTCCAGCTGCCCTGGCCACACATCAGATCAATTATATCAAAACATCAGAGGGCGGGGCATAGACACCAGCTTCTTGTAAATCTCCTGAGATGATTCCATTGTGCAGCCAGAGGTGAGAACAGCTGGGTTGCACTAGCGCTTCTCCAGGGGTGGCCTGTGAGTCCCAGAATCTCTGAGAGTATTGGTGGAAAATGCAGACTCCTGGACCCACCAGCCCTCTCAGCACTGAACCTCAAGGTGGGATCTGGAAAGTCTGTGTTTTAACAACGTCCCCAGGTGATTCTCAAGCACACTTGAGTCTGAGAATCAGCTCTAAACCTTTCTCTAGTCCATCTGTTTCTCATGATATGGTAATTTTCCCTTTCCTTCAGCCATACTAGTCTTTCAGTTCCTCAAAGATAACCATCTTCTTCCAGCCTCTGGACCTTTGCCTATTATAGCTGTTTATCTGGAAGGCACTTTGCTCTCTCTTTGCCATTAGGAAATTGGCAAAGATAACAATGATGAAGCTATAGCCCTAGAAAATCATTGTAAAGTGCATGTTTTGGAGGAGAAAAGAGTAGGCACCGAAGGGCCACAATCCCCTCCCCCTGGGACAGTTTGGTTTACTAAGTCAGCTAGCTGTCACTGGAAGTCATAGAGAGGTTGCTCCAGAGATGGTGGGAGAAAACTCAGTAGGTTTGTTGGAGGTATTGAAGGAACGAGAGAGAAGACTTAAGTGATGTGGCACCAACTGGGTCAGATGCATGAAAGCAGCAGCCCTGGGCTGCAGGTAAGAGAAGGCAGTGCCAAGAGACACCTTAAGTTACCCAGCAGGACCAGGGACATGTAGCTTTTGGAACCTGTGGCTGGCAGTGGGTGCCACAGGGGAGAGAGGGGCCATGGGGGAGAGGGACAGCAAAGGACAAGGCTGGGTGATGGGGGATATACCCAGATGGAGGGCAGAGCCACTTTGGCTACCTCCAATGAACAGTGATGATGGGGAAATGTTAGTGGAGGGTTTTTTCAATCTCTCAAGTCTAGTGTTACTGGGAAAGTGTGATCTGATTTAAAAAGTTGGTTCAAATGCAACTGACTATCAACTGCAGATCTTCTTTTCTCAAGCGTTTCTCAAACTTTCAAGTGCACATGAATTAAGTGCTGATCTTATTAAACTGCAGATTCCGACTCAGTAGGTCTGGGGTGGGGCTGAGATTCTGCATTTCTAACCAGCCTCCAAGTGCCCCTGGTCTTGGCCCCAAACTTAGAGCAAGGAGGTTTGAACATTCCGACTCTTAACAGTGGGCCCGTGGTCTTGCCCAATCCAAAAGTGCCTGCTGAATCATTCACTTTTACGTTGTATTGCACAGAGCTTTAGAATGAAATATTTGCATGCATTCTAATCCTCCAAAAATTAGACATGGTAGCTCTTTATTCACCAAAATACTTATTGAAATGGAACTCCCCAATTTTGACATGCCAGATAATATAAAAATCCCTGCCGTTTTGCCGACCTCTCTCTGAGTTGTTAAAGGTGAGACCGTGGGTCCTGACTAGCTTATCTGTGCTTTTGTGTCTGACCTAAGGTGGGTTATTAAGTATATGTAGACTTCAGACATGAGAAGACATTTACACAATTTTCCTTTTCCTTTTTTTTTTTTTGGTCACCTACACACAGCCGCAGTTGGTAAACTCCGGCTTCTGGAAAATAGGGGGTGAGGACACCGTGGAAAGAGCAGTCCTTGGCAGCCGAGAGTTCAATTCCTGGAATTTTATTAGGAAACCGTCAAAGGAACTAGATTTCACAAGAGGATCGGTCAGCACTGCTGACTCGTGCTGAGCATCAGCTCTGGTTACTGGATCGTGAGGGCGGCAGAGACGTGCCATGTCTAGCTCACTAGGACAGCACTGCCAGCATTTCATCCAAGCGCGCTGGTACGCTGGGGGGTTGGGGGGGGACAGAGAGCAAAGCCGATGATATCTCGGCAGCTGCTGAATGACAACAGGTACAGTAACTGCAGGGTAGGTGGGCCTCGGAGCTGCCCAGGGACACTGGGAGCACAGGGGAATGTCTCTCGTGCATTAAGCACCAGTCTGAGATGGGCTGGTGTAAGGTGGGCTGAGTTTCCATACTTTTTATAATCGAGACCACAGTTGTGCTCCAAGGGACAGACTAGATTGTGTGTGTGCGTTTAGGTGGATAAAATCGCTAGATTGGCTGAGACTTGAAGAGCCCATCTAGTCCTATGCATTGTCTCAAGACGGGCTCTAATGGCATAATTTCCAAACAAACAGGAATCCATCCCCTTCTAAAAACTCTGCAGGTAGGTCTATTTCACAACTTTTCTCACAATGACTTCTCTCTGGCATCTCCCACAGTCAGGAAACATTTGTTCATGGCTAATACAAATCGATTTTTCAGTTACCCAGCTCTCCTTAAAAATCTAGAAAGTGCTTGGCACTGCTGGAGAC